TCTATGGATACCCCCAACGTTTTTTTCTTATTCAAAAGAAGACCTTAACTTAAAGTATGCTTTAATGTTTGAATAAAGCCTTATTAGTTTGTCTGTTTTGAACATCCTCCTTAATATCTTTGGACGTCCTCCACTAGCTGTTGTATTGTAGAGATCACTACAGTATCTTGTTGATATTATTCTATTCTATATTTCTATCATTGACCTTCTACTTTCCTCCAATTTTGTATGTAGGCTACTCTTAATATTTAAATATTTTCATCAAATATAACATATTCAACAACTAAATTCAATAACGTGCTTTAACCACTAGGCAGTGTGGGTTAAAAAAACAGTGGTCTAGTTCAGTGCTTCTCAAACTTGTTTCAGTAATGTACCCCCTTTGAAACATTTCCTCAGCCGAGTACCCCCTGACCGACCCCGAACTACATTACTGAAACAAGTTTGAGAAGCACTGAACTAGACCACTGTTTTTTNTGTACGACGACAATAAACCAGTGAATTTTTGATTCAAACCAAAAAACCACCTTAGAAAGTCTAGAAGTTTCTGAAACATCAGTTACATCATTCCTTTCATGGAGTAACTTGAGATCAGCCCGTACCCGACATCCCAGTAGAAACCTGATCAAAATACCTACACCAGAGGTAAACTGTTTCGAGTATCTTTGTTTTCGAACGTAAGGTCCCGTTAAGAGTAAAAGTACCAAGGTGAATTTTATTTTTGTGTTATTCTGTATGCACCGATAGAGAACCCGGGTGTCTCCCGGGTACAGAAAGGTCGAGCAAGGATAGACAGACATAGCACGCCGAGTACCCTCGGAGGGCGGCGTAGAAAGGGGGGGAAGAAAGAACTGGGAGAAGATAGGGTCCACACTTTAGAAGTAGAGAGAAGTAGGAGACCTCTCGAGTTTGTAGACCTTAGACCCATGTCTTTTACAGACGAAGTCAAAGGCCAGAGGACGTTGTTATAACTCAGTAATTCAGGGTACTTCTACCAGGACTGCCAGGTATTACCTGTAAAATACTTTTCTCGACAATAAACTTTGGAACTTAATAACTTAACCGAAAAGTCTTGTTTAATATATCAAGGAGTTGTACAATTATTTGTTCTTTTACATATCTAAAAGTACCCATTTTAATGTTAATAAGTTGTTATAAACTGAAAGAGGAGGACGAAAGATATGGTTTACAACAAACAACCCATACGGTCGGTAAACGCTACTTTTCTTTCTCCTTGAAGGCGTCCGTACGGTAAAAATTGGTTTCTGTATAGTGACTCTTCCTGGTCCTACAGGAGACAATGTCATGTAGTCCCTAAACTATGCTCATCGAGTTTTCTCAGTTCCTCTTACGTACAATTTTTTTTAAAAGTGGATGTCACCCTCGTAAAAGTTACCGACCGCCAGGGTCCTCCTATATTACATAATACTAATATGACGACTTTTATTAGAAGGACTCTCACAGTGAACACTACATCAGACACACCAGGTGTCACTTACATGAACTTCGTTCGTCCACTATTGCTTTAGTTTCCTTAGAGTATCTTTTACGACGTCCAGTAAAAACTGGGTGAATACTTCGAACCCCATCCTTTAATGTTTTTTGATGTAAAGAATTTTACTATTTTACATTTACATTTTACCGTACTATAAGGTTTGTACAAAAACTCCTTAGTCCGACCTTATACTTACATTTTTTTTACCATTATGTTGTTCATGAAGTCTTTTGGTGAGTAGGACCCACGTTTTTTATGGTGGATAACGTAGAGTCCCAAATCAGTAGTTAACTACTAACTATAACCCTCAGTTAGCAATCACCAAAAAACCAAAACAAATCCATAGACCGGTACATTATTCGCCCATCTAATCGTGAAAATAGGCGAATGAATTCATTCGAAGGGACAAAGTACAAATATCCTCGACGGTAAGGGACACATCGGACGAAAATATGCTTACTCGCGATCTTGATATTGGGTGTCCCTCAATCGAATTCATACAGTCCCTATACGACTCACATTAATAGACGGCGGAATAATTGCTACCGGTCTCATGACAATTGTTTGATGTGCTGACTCTCGGGGACGTCTATTGTAGTTTTTTGTAACTTTACTAAAATAACTCGAATTGGGACTCTACGTATTCACCCATAGGTTGAATATTATCTCGGAGGGGCTAAACTCCACCACCATAAGAACTTCATAGAAACATTCAATAGTAAAAAAATACGCGTTGGAATAAAGTATAAGAGTCAATAAGAGTTTTTTTGCTCTACACAACCTATAGTACGGTAAATATTCGTAAAGTAACAATATCATAATGATTCTTTAACTATCAAAACATTAACGATGACAGGATTTCGAGGTATTTCACCCAGTTATTACGTTAGAGGCGGACAAGATACTCTAGCGAAACTAAGAATAGTGCGTCGTTGACAAGCGACAGTATGTAAGTGACACCTCCAGTGTCTGTGTGTGTTCACTGTGGGAGCCCTTCTAATAAAAGTCAGATGTACAGTATTATGGTAATATTAAGGACCTACTGCGCATGTCTTACTTATACAGGTGTCTATCACCTTAAAAAAATTGTTTGACGTACGAGTAAACTGTGAAATAACTTCAATGAGTTAGTTAGCGGACTACATGACATGTCTACCTGTGGACCAGAATGTCACTATACAGAAACCAATTTTAACCGTAACGACCCTCAAGGAGCAAAAGAAAAGTACAGTTTTACCGACCGAATTGCGTTTTGTTGTAAAATATCTTCCGCCTCCTCTTCAGTTTATAACAGACTTATTAACATTAAAATGGTACTTTAGTATTGTAACAAGAACAAATAATTCGTACACCTCCTGATTATTTAACAAGACTTTCTGGTCAAGTTATAAGTTCAAAAGCGTTATTGTCGAGAAGTATTCTTACAGGTAATACACTGCAGTCCTGGTAGAAGTACCTGAATTACTGAGTTATAACAACGTCCTCTGCCTTTGACTTTCTGTCTGTACACAAAGACATGGTCTAAGTCTACAACTCGAGAGTCTCCTTACTCTCTCTACCTTCTAAGTGGTGGACCCTATCTTTCTCCCAGTTCTTCTTCCCCCCCTTTCTACCGCCGTCCGAGGTACTCGCCGTCGTCTATCGTCTGTCTTATCCCTGCTCGACCTTTCTGGTACCGGGAGACACCGGTTCTCATCGGTCGCATACAGGAATAACAACAAAATAAAATTCACCTTGGTACTTTTACTCTTTACGCGACCTTTACGTCGAAACAAAGATACTCGAAACAGTTTACCTCTGCCGTCGTAGGTATTTTCGGTCAGTTTCTTACTGGGATGTGGGTACGGCTGATCTCAGTTACTCCATGAAAGGAATGATGTAACTGACCGTTCGAAACTTCAGACCTTGTCTAAGTCGCGTTTTGCGTTTGATCAAAGAAATCACTGGTTTTTTGTCGTTACAAGTCTATTTAAATGAATAAATACAAAATTTATTTCCACTTACATAATAATATAATTATAGTGAGATATTGGTATTATGCAATGTATCAGATAGACAAGTAAAACCGACAGAAAAGTTTGATTATACCAGGGCTGCAGGAGATGTCACCTGTATGACATTGTAAATTTTTATTTTTTTCAGATTTAACGTTCTACAAAAAAAATTGGGATTTATCCATCCTTTAGTGTTTTTTTTCCTTTAACCTTCTGTGAAAAAAAGGAGCCCAGGGTCCTCCTATAAAAAAGTTTGTACCGTAATTTTGTGTATAATAAGATTATGCCCAGGAAAAACTGGGTGAACACCTTCTCACATCCAAGGTCGATGAGCACGTAGATTCCCAATTGTTACTAGCACAAAGAAGGAAAGAGGAAGAACTAGGAGGAATCGTTGCTAGCGATGACCGGAACTGTCGCCAGACATGATGACATAATTGTTGCACAGTGTACAAGACTTAACTGGTTAGTCTTAGCTCATAAGTTGATTCGGCAGTTTATATACCAAAATAAGTAGCAAAGAAGTAAGATTTAGAACGAAGAACACGTCCCATGCCGGCTTAGTCCCTTCTCCTACTTCTGTCGCTACTGCTACCAAGTCTACTACTTTAGCTACTTAGTGACCATACACTAAACATGTTTTATTCCTAAACAAAAGGGAGATATGTGTGAATTAGGACGGAAAGCTACGCATAACTTTCAGGACGAAATTTAAGCCAAGATAGTAATTTCGTTACAAAAAGGGTCCGCCGCGTCAAGGACTTGAGCCCGTCACACGCAGTGTCTGATGTCAAGATGTAGCCACTGGTGGACGACGGCATGTTGTACTGCCACATGGTCCGGCACTCCGTCATGTCAGACGTCCGCCTCCTCCTCGCTCTCAGCTGCCTGCTGCTCCGTTTGGGTGAGCCCGCTCGACCGTAAACCTGGTTTTGCGTGTGTTATACCATTTTTGCGAAAAAACATAAAAGTAAACGAAAAACATAAAAGTAAACAAGAAACTCTATTCGTTCTTTCATTTACTTATTTATGTTTTAAATAAAGGTGAATGTATTATTATATTAATATCACTCTATAACCATAATACGTTACATAGTCTATCTGTTCATTTTGGCTGTCTTTTCAAACTAATATGGTCCCGACGTCCTCTACAGTGGACATACTGTAACATTTAAAAATAAAAAAAGTCTAAATTGCAAGATGTTTTTTTTAACCCTAAATAGGTAGGAAATCACAAAAAAAAGGAAATTGGAAGACACTTTTTTTCCTCGGGTCCCAGGAGGATATTTTTTCAAACATGGCATTAAAACACATATTATTCTAATACGGGTCCTTTTTGACCCACTTGTGGAAGAGTGTAGGTTCCAGCTACTCGTGCATCTAAGGGTTAACAATGATCGTGTTTCTTCCTTTCTCCTTCTTGATCCTCCTTAGCAACGATCGCTACTGGCCTTGACAGCGGTCTGTACTACTGTATTAACAACGTGTCACATGTTCTGAATTGACCAATCAGAATCGAGTATTCAACTAAGCCGTCAAATATATGGTTTTATTCATCGTTTCTTCATTCTAAATCTTGCTTCTTGTGCAGGGTACGGCCGAATCAGGGAAGAGGATGAAGACAGCGATGACGATGGTTCAGATGATGAAATCGATGAATCACTGGTATGTGATTTGTACAAAATAAGGATTTGTTTTCCCTCTATACACACTTAATCCTGCCTTTCGATGCGTATTGAAAGTCCTGCTTTAAATTCGGTTCTATCATTAAAGCAATGTTTTTCCCAGGCGGCGCAGTTCCTGAACTCGGGCAGTGTGCGTCACAGACTACAGTTCTACATCGGTGACCACCTGCTGCCGTACAACATGACGGTGTACCAGGCCGTGAGGCAGTACAGTCTGCAGGCGGAGGAGGAGCGAGAGTCGACGGACGACGAGGCAAACCCACTCGGGCGAGCTGGCATTTGGACCAAAACGCACACAATATGGTAAAAACGCTTTTTTGTATTTTCATTTGTTCTTTGAGATAAACAAGAAGTCTTCAGTCAGTAAAACAGAGTTGTGTGGCATCTTACTTAACCCTCACTTTCACTTTAGAGAACAACCTTTTGGGGGGATTTGCTTGTTTGAATCTCATTAGGCAGTCCTTGAAACGTCAAACCAAATGTCTTAAAATGTACGTTAGAATACTCTTTGTTTTATGTTGTCTATTTTTTTTAATATTGTTGTGTTGCTTTGTCCATGAAAGCTGCTATACAAATAAAATGTATTATTAGGGTTAGGGTTATATGCAGATATAATTACCATGTCGCTGAGATGTACTCTTGCACATGAACTAGCTACTTGTTAGGCCAATAATCATTTGAAATTCTAAGTGCTACTCAAAGTGTTCAGATACCCAAAGTCTGGTCACCAAAGAGTTAGCAATTTCCGGTGTAAAAGCTGTCATGCGCTCTCATCAGTCACTTTAACGACCTGTGTTATTTGCTAATAGGTATAAGCCTGTGAGAGAGGACGAGGACGGCAGCAAAGACGCTGTGGGTGGGAAGCGGGGCCGAGCCCAGACTGCTCCCACCAAGACGTCCCCTCGCAACGCCAAGAAGCAGGATGAGCTGTGGCATGGTGAGCATCTGAAACGTCTCACAGCGATTCTCCCAACGTTCTTTGTATCTGGGGGATTCCTGGTTTTGATGTTTACAAATCCGTAGCAATCCTAAATGGGTAACTGTGTACTTAATTCCTACTCTTGTTTCCCTTCACTTGCAGACGGCGTGTGTCCCAGTGTCGTCAATCCCTTAGAGACATACCTCACTTCGGAGCCACCGGAGAACATTACCTTCGAAGACCCCTCTTTGGAGGTCAACCTGCTGCTGAGGGTCCTGCACTCAATCAGTAGATTCTGGTTCTACTTATATGAAGTAAGTCTCCTTTCCGAAAGAGTCACAAGAATAATGTGTTTGTGCGAGAGTGTGCCCCCGTTATCTTGATGGAGATTATGAGTGAACATTGCACCAGATAAATGTGATTTAACACTTAAAGGACAGTCTCTCCCCCCCCCAGTTAAAATGTGTTTTCCTCTCATCTGTAGTGCTATAGTCTAACATCGAATGCTTTGGAATGAGTTTGAAAATATATTTTGGGGATTTTCGGTTGGACTCTCCTTTTCTTTTTATCCTGTTCAGCGGGGGCCTCTGGGTTTTTTTTCACGAAACTGTGTCTCAGGGCTTCTTAACATTTAAAAACCTATTAATGTGTCATACCCGATTAACGGGAAGAAACTCAGCTAACTGACAATACGAACCATTTTTACCGAAACAAAACACAAGTCTCACAAGAAGCGTCTAAATGAGCCCTGAGTGAAAAAATGCTAACACACTTAGCACAGAACTCTAGGTATAAATACCCTTATTACTTATCGGATCTGCACAAACAAGATATCGATTAGCAAGCTGAGATTCCACAGATTCTATAGGTATCAGTAGCATCACTGAGCGATCTGAACTCGCGACAGGGGAAGCGAACACAGACATCACAACACGTAGCATTACGGAGCAAAAACGGGACATTGTCTCACCTTTGCTGTTGTTCTGATCTAAAGTTGTGTTCAATGGCATTAAAACGATAAAAACGCTGCTGAAGGTTAATCCAATGTGTCTGTCACTTTGAAATGATTACTGAAAATCCATCATTCCATTTTTATGTCAATAACTGAGATTTGATATTAGCTGCTACGATAGCCACCAGAGAGTATGACAGCTGGCTGCGCATCACTCATTCACCAATGGGTAATGTTTAGATGGATTTTTAGTAACTTCCCCTCGATTCCATTGGCTCTAATGGTTAAAAATAGATGTCAATCATCAAAATCGACCGAGGGGGGCCAGAGATATGGAAAATGCACCCAGAAGTGTTTTTTTTCCTAAATCTCTCTAAAAAGGTCACATTTAACTTGTTTTGCATCAATCTTGATACAGAGTACTTATTATATGTCATAGTTTGGATTCCTAAAGCTTTTAGTCTACTATACCATCATTCAAGGGTGGTTTTTACGATAAGTAATGTTTTTTTTTTTGGACGGACACTACAATTTAAAAGTTTACTATGTTCAATCTGAATTTACTTTGAAATAAAAACATCTATATTGATTCTGACTCTTCTACATCCAACTCACAGGTTTATCATTGCTTTGAGAAAAAGATTATTAATTTTCCCTTTTTTAGAAGTGAAGATATGGTCCTTTGTTCTGGGAATGTTGTTTTCGAGCTTGAGACCTGAAAAACAGGCTCAGGGCTCAACAGGTTAAGCTAGCTGTGCTACATTTGTGGTCATTTTGTGTCAGAAAATATAAAAGTAACATTTATTTTGTTGCAGAATGCTGTGTGTAAGGAAATCATCGCGACCAGTGAGTTCATTAACAGTAAGCTGACAGCCAAAGCTAACCGACAGCTTCAGGACCCGCTGGTCATCATGACGGGGAACATCCCCACCTGGCTCATCGAGCTCGGAAAGACCTGGTAAGTGTTTTATACTTTACACCAAAACAGGACATAAATGGTGCTGACGTTTGGCATGGTCCTAACATACAGTATTCTCTCTCTTCCTCTACAGTCCTTTCTTCTTCCCCTTCGACACCCGGCAGATGTTGTTCTACGTCACTGCCTTCGATCGGGACAGAGCCATGCAGCGTCTACTGGACACAAACCCTGAGATCAACCAATCAGATTCTCAGGACAGCAGGGTGGCCCCACGTCTTGACAGGAAGAAGGTAAAATGTGTTGCCATCTTTGACCGTTGCATCTTATGGAGTCACTGTATCTGAAGCACTTTGCATTGTGTGACTATTCTGGCTTTGATAATAGTATTTGTTAACATTTTGCTGTTTATTTTTGGCTTAAACCTTCATCGTGTTGTGTTTTCAGAGGACGATAAACCGCGACGAGCTGCTAAAGCAGGCTGAGTCTGTGATGCAGGACCTGGGTAGCTCCAGGGCCATGCTGGAGATCCAGTATGAGAACGAGGTACAGATCATCTCAGTTACTTTCAAACACTGGTTTTAACATAACAAAGTACATTTACAAGTACCCTACTTAAAGGGGACCTATCATGCAAAATGCACTTTTTGATTCCTTTATAAATAAAGGTGTGTCGGGGAACTCACGCAGCGTCAGAAAAATAAAACCCTCTCTTTTAACCAAATCTCTCAAAACGGGGCTATAACGGAGCTGATCCAGATTTGCGTCCGATATGACGTAATATCTGAAATGTGGACCCACGGCCCTATCAGAAACGTTGCTATCAGAAACAATGCCCGACTGTTTTGGACGTAATATGGTCGGTGTTTACATTAGCATCGCTAACACTCAGAGCTA